GAAACGGGAACATTTTTGCACGAGTAACTGTGTCAAATGGAATTCTAAATGACACGATTGCAAGAGGTAGGAGGGATATCGTTGATCTTGAAACTGGCTGTGGTGGACATTTAACGCTTGGAAGTAAAATTTCCTTTATGGACGAAAGGGTTATTAAAAAGTCGTTCCTAGTGTAGAATTGAAAGAATTATTTTATTTGTTTCACTTATTGTTACTTAATAGTAGTGACTTTTTTCTTCTACTAACGTGGACAGTAATGTGTTTCTGTTTTTTCGTTTTCGTTTTTTGAATTTAATGATACAGTGTCGATACGTGATACTTATGGGAATGAAATCTTCGTTTGTTGGATTGAAAAGGTTGAAAAGGCATACGTAATAGATAATTTTTTGCAATTTTCGACTTTTATTTCAAAATTTTTATAATTTCTTATGTCACAACAATTATGAATAAATTATAAATTCATATATATATTAAAAGTCATTAGAAAATAAATTCATATATATTAAAATTGATTAGAAAATAAATTCATATATGTGTTGAAATTGATTAGAAAATAAATTCATATATATGTTGAAATTCATTAGAAAATAAATTCATATATATATATATACATATACATATACATATATTGATTTTCTAATGATTTTATTGTTTGTAAATTTGTTACATTTACAATTAGTAACGAATTATAATTGTTGTGATATAAAAAAATTACAAAAATTTATATATATTAGTATGTTCGATCCAACGGATTTGTAAATTAAAAGAGAAAAAAATTCGTCGTCCGAACGATCGCCAGTGGCCATCGTGTCCGGTAGTTAATATTATTCAAATACAGAATTACGGCGAGAGTTACGAGGGCCATTATTCGAATAAAAATTCATTTCGCCGTCGATGTTTATAACCACTGCGAGAGCTCTCTCGTTGTAACGCGTAAAAATAGAGAGCCATAACCGAAGAGAAATGATGCCATTTTTCATCGTGGGCCACCGTGTCCCGCAATCCAGTCGAACGATCGATCATCGGTGCAATGAAAAAATGCGCAGAAACTGGTACAAGCGTGTCTACGCGGGAGGGGAGGGATGACGATGATCGCGAGTGTGTGTACACGTATAATCCGGCGGAATCGTATGAAAAAAAGCCGGCGAGATCGGTGAAAATGAAATTTTTTCAAGCGTCGACGCGTCGAGAGGAAAAGGGTACTCGAAAAACCCATTTGAAATTGTTGATTGAAACAAAACGCTTGACCTCTCTGCTCGAACTGTCGAAATTCGCGGACGCCCGTCTTACTTTAATTAATTATTTAATATGATCTTACCGGCGAGTATCTTTAGTCGGGTACTATCTTTAATTGTTAAATTTGATTTTATTGGCGAGTAGAGGAGAGGAAATTTCGGAGAGCAGCGGCTGTGAAAGGTGAAATTGTTCGTGCCACGGTGTTAATGAAATTTTTGAATATTTTACGTAACGCTCGCAATTGGACTATATTCGAGTTTGTTGGTACATTTGTTTGTTTAAATTGCACAGCAATTACGAAATTTTTGAATATTTTACGTAACGCTCGCAATTGGACTATATTAGAGTTTGTTGGTACATTTGTTTGTTGAAATTGCACAGCAGAAAGTATTACGAAATATGGGAAAATACAGTGGAAGCATCCAGTACGTAGAACAACTTTCCACGAAAGTTCAAACATTTAGTGTAAAGCACTGTTTCTCCGCGAGAATTTCAGCATTTGTATACCTAAACACATTTCGTATGTAAACTAATTCTCGACGAGAATCTTACTTTTAAATTGCACTTTCAAACATGTGGGTTTGCATAAAAGTGTGCGTACAGTATATTTGTATAAAATTTTTGCAAATATTCAAATACTTTCGTGACACTGTGATTTCTTTATTTGTTCAACATCTGAAATTGCAGATAACTGTAAATAAGTGTAACTTTTGCATTTCGTTGAAAACCTTATAATGATATAATGACGTAGAGTCACGTTAGATAAATTAGAAAATTCTATAATTTTAAAATAATCCTGTGCGATTATCCTTGAGAAGGATAATTTTATTCTTCACCGTCTTCACCATAATGAGAAAAACTGAGGAAGATTTAATCAACATTCAACATCTATTTAAATATTTATTTATTACTTGTATAATTTATTTATTATACACACACATTATTTATTATTTACTTTACAATTTACTTACTATACACACAAATGGATTAGAAGTATTTTTAAATTTATCTTAAATTTTGTGAATTGAAATCTATCTCAGATTGTGGATTTTCAAGCAAATCTATATATATATATATTTTTTCAAAAATTAAGAATTATATTGTGTACTTATATATTTTTATGTAACTCATATATTTTATGAACTTTCGTGATTTAAAATTTACCACAAATTTATAGAACTTTGCAGTTCAATGATTATTATTTATGTCACCTTACTGCAACAAATGAACTGATAGAAATATATATATATATATACAAATTATATTTTATTATATTTATATAAATTATAAATATATATATATATATATAAATTATATTTTATTATAATTATATAAATTATAAACATATATATATAAATTATATTTTATTATAACTATACAAATTACAAACATATATAAAAATTATATTTAATTACAAACATATATAAAAATTATATATAAAAATTATATTTTATTACAATTATATAAATTATAAATATACGTATTAAAATTTTGTGCGTGAAAACTATGCTTTTAATGTGTACAGTCTTGTCTGAAATGATGCGAGGAAATGAACGGGTGGTTGAAAACTGACGTATAACGTAACTTTTCGCGTAAATGAAATACAGCTGAGATACTTGATACATCATCTCGAAGCGTAGAACAGGATAGCGAAAGAACGGAAAGTAGGGAATCGATATCGACGATCCATGAGTGGTGACACGCGATATCGAAGAGTCTCTACGAGCGTTGTATGAATTATGATAGCACTAATTATGCCGGTGCATGGTAAACCGATATCGCAGACATCTGAGGGTTCGAAATTGACGATTTCGCAGCGAAGTAAATTTGATATCGATCACTCTGAAACTGGAGGATCTTGTTAGTTGATACGATGATTTGAAGATCTCACTCTTCAATCATCACCTGGCGAGAATCACCATTTTTCGCGATTGTATGAAATTTGACGAAAACTATTATCGAATTCTTCTTTACCGATCATTCTAATATCACTATTATCGTACGCGATAAGATCACGAAAGAGAAACGTAACAAATGCATTTTCGTCGATTTTCTGATTTCGATATTGATTAATTGTGCGAACGAAAAAAAAATTACACTTCAATGACGAATTGACGAAGTGACGTGGAAATTAAGGATATGATATTTAATATTTAATATTTAAATAATGTCTTAAATATTTAATAATAATATTTAAATAATATCTTAAATATAATATTAATAATAATTATATCTTAAATTTTATATCTTTTTAAATTTAAATTTTTATATCTTAAATCTTATATCTTTTTATATCTTACAACTTAAATCTTATATCTTTTTAAACTTAATATTTTATAAACTTTTTATATCTTAAATCTTATATCCTTTTAAACTTAATATTTTATATCTTTATAACTTAAATCTTAAATATTTATATCTTAAATCTTAAATATAATATTAATAATAATATTTAAATAATCTTACATATTTAATAAAATAATATCTTCTCCAATAAATCTGGAGACGTGCATGTGCGGACAAGTCAATATCCATAGTCCTGGAGGCTAAAAAAGAATCGAAACCGATATTTCAACACTTTGCACAGCTGTTTGACAACGTCCAAATATGGCTTGGAACGTGTCCCCCCTTGTCGTGCAAATCGATATTTATGATTTCGTTTCTGGGTCGTGTTTTGGATAAGTTTTCAAGTTACAGGAATAGAGGTAGTTATGGTGTGATGAGTCGAATACTGGAAGTATTTTTCAGAAACTTACGTTCCATTGAAGGATATTGTTAGATATAGTTTCCAAGATACGAATAAACTTTATTGCATAACCAATTGGTGAAATATTCACAACGCTAATCCTTTGGCTAATTTTCACTTCTCGAAGAATGTGTCTCAACAGAAGTTTTTTAAATATATTATTTATAATTATTAATAATATATATAATTATAATATATAATTTATATAATATAAATTATATTTATACATTATAATTATAATATATAATATATAATATATAATTGTTTGTGATATGATATTGTGTAACAATGTTTAATAATTAATTAGTAATTGTAAAGAATCAACAAATTGCACAAGCAACGTTGTTATATCGAAATATTTGGAAAGTGTGACGAATCGAATGGAAAGAAATTCGCATCGTCGTAGTATAATACATAACGTAAACACTTTCGAAAGTCCGAAGTTTATTTAAAATATTTGTTGATTCGCGATTATTAATTTTAAAAATAAAGATGCGAATTTAACAGAAATGAAATAATAAAATAAACATTGATAAGCATTGATAAAGTAAAAAAAATTGTTAAACAATTAATTGGTATTATTTGCGGAATAGAAAATGAATTAATTTAAATTTACTTTAAAATGATATTTCAATTTTCTCCGACGTGATCGTTATAAAATTCAAAGGACGAAGAACAGACCTCTGTTTATGTTCAACTATTTCGCGAACAATGATAATTATTATTTTCAAATAAAATAGAATTCACAATCTTACTCGATCAAACAATCAACATTCATTCAGTGTCAACTTTGACTTTGAATCCATCATTTTGATAGATCCGTCAGCTCCAACATTCGATACTAATTTTCGTACAACAGAAACGACCTTGGAATTTCTTGAAATTGGACATCGAAAGGAATAGGAGATTGAAAAATTCTCTGTAATCCATGTCATTCGTGAAATAAAACATCCACGGTCGGCACATATATATATATGTCTACACGATAGCGATTAAACGTTTCTGTTGGCTTTCACAGGCTGAAGATTATATTGGATTGAAGGGTAGCTTCGACGATCATATCGGATTATTGATGCGTGGGGAAGATGGTGGACAGAAGACCGCGATACAACCGGACCCAAGAGGTTTACCAAGCTTACCACCCAACCTGGAAGCTCGTTTACCACAACTCGATCAGAGCCTGAGGATCACGCACGCCGAATGGTTGCCAGTCACGAAGACTAGGTGTGTTCGCCGCTTGATAACGCTTCTTGAATATTTATTGCCGATAATTGTTCACGCTTAACCCCAATTGGCCCTCTCTTGTCGTTAGCCGTGGAAAAATCTGCAGTACGGTTTTTATTAGCGGCTTGTAGGAATCAGCAGTTAGTATTTATAACCGGTATTATTAACGAGTATTGATTTTATTAAATTACCAATGATTTTATAAACCGTCACTGCTTTTACAAACTGCTAATTACTAATAAATTGTTAACAGTGTGTTGATAATTATTGATAATAATTTACTGGCATTGTTATGGGCAATTAAATTAAATTTTGGTTTATAAAATCGGTACGGTTAGTAATACACATAGTATATTATTTACATTTATTGTTATATTATTTGTGTTACATATGTTTTATATTATTTGTATTATTTTATATTATTTTATTTATATTCTGTATCATTCATATATTTAGTCAAATGTGAATTTTTCAATTTGAAAACGTTTGTGCACGTTTAATTGATTTTTGTCGCATTCTCAACGTGGAAGTTCAATTCTATTAATCTTGTTACCTTCGGATATTTATGTTTATCGAATTTCACGCTGTTATCACTTTTTCACGATTTATTTCTCTCTGAGGAGGAAATTTGATCAATAATAGAAATGCACTGTTTCTGCATCAGAATCGAAATTTTACTTATTTCTATGGAAAGTAAATACGTTTTTTTTTTTATGGCTCAGTCAATTTTAAATTTTAATTTTCTAAAATATATATACGTGATGATAATTCTTGAACTGTATACGCGACGATATGTTCTCTTCATCGATTGTCTCAGTTTCTTTTCATTAATTAAATAGCTCGCTGCTCGTAATGAAAATCTCACGTTGGAATATTAGTATTTCAAAAGTGGTGAATTCTTGACTGAATTTTATCAAACAGACAAAAACCACTATCATTAAATTTTCATAAAAAGTGCTGTACAGATGTATAAAAGAGTCGGGGCGAGATCGTTTTCAGGTTACGTTTTTTGTACGTGGCTGAGTTCCTTCTAAGACCGCGTATTTTATTACAGCACTGAATTCACCTCCCTTCAGAGAAAGCTCTGAAATTGTATTAGAAAAAAATTGTTCACGTATAGAAATCTAACAAAAAAAAAAAAAGAAAATCAGGCAGAGACATTGTTCCTTCGGAAACGCGAATTGTTTTACAACAATTTCATTTTCTCCTTAAAAATTTTACGGTTGCCATCGATTGTACGGTATTACGTTAATTATAATGCACATAGCGGCTCACGAAAGTATTCTAACGGCACTTTGAACCTTAAACGAACGAAAGTAATCTCCGTTTCTTCAACGGATGTGAGCAAAAATTAAAATTTGCATAAGTGTTCGCTGTTCAAACCACGATGGTTCGACTCTCGTCACAGTGCTGATGAAAGTTGATTGAAACATCGCAAAATCTACAGTTCTTGAGCCGCTACAATTATATTCGGTTATCCCATAAGTAATGCAATCTTTTGGGGAGTTAAGTTTGATATAATGAAGGTTCTTGGACACCATCGACGTTGATGAGCTGGAAAAATTGGAAACTTAAGGGGGCAGGACAGTTTGACGGGCCCAAAAATTACTTAAAAATACTTTGGAGGGCTAGTAAAAGAAAAAAAGCACACATTTGATTGACATGAGCTTTATAAAAAGATTGAAAGAGAAAAAAAAGAGGGCTCTTATTTAGCTTTTTACATAACTTTTTTTTACACTGCATGATTCCAGCCAAACAGGATTTGTTGCAACAAAAAGGCAAGAAAAGTTCAAAAGTAAACAATATTCTCTAGAGATTGACGATCCAACATTTTTATTCCTGAGAAAATTATGAAAATAGCTATTTGATGTGTCGAATTTATGCCAAAAGTTTCTACGTTTTTTGTTTATATCTTTCGAAATTGTTAAAAATTAGAAAATGTTCGATCGTCAATCTCTAGTAAATGTTACACTAAAGATACACACCAAGTTTCACGGTAATCGGTTGGTTAGATTCCGAGATATCTCGCACACCGTTTCTAAAAACCTAGTTTCGAGAAAAACGCGTTTAAAGTTTCAGAACGTCATTTTTCATACGTATCCTTTACTCACTATTTTTACTTATATATCGAAGCTCACAGTTCTTACAGTTCGCAACTAAATTGAATCCAACTCCCCTAATATTCGATTCACCAAAGATAATATTTGGCTCACACGATTTACACTTTATAATACTGCTTAAAGTTAAAGTAAACAGTGATGCAAATTCAATTATTCTGTATCCGCGGATTTATTATCATACCCCAAGATAAGTCGTTTTTAAAAGCTAGAATCTTTCGTATCTTATTTCTAAGACTTCAAACTACTACTTTAAAACGAAAACGAAAAGAAATCGATTTTTTGAAAATTTCAAACCGTCCTGACTCCTTAATAGAGGAGTAGTTGATATTTATTACGGAGAGAAGAAAGATCAGTGAAAAATTGGAAACCCAATCGAGGAAGAAGAAGGCAATAAAACACAAAAAAGTTATTCTTGAGACCACGTTACTCATGGGATGATCGAATCACCTAACACGAGACCAGTCGATCTAACTCTAAAAAAACGCGGTGTTTCTCTTTTTTCAATTCTCAGATTCAAATTCTTTGTATACTCAGCGTACTTCGACGACAGGGTTGGCGGAACAGGCGCGCCAACAGGTAAAAGTCAGGGAATGGTTCGTATAATAAGCGCAACAAAGACGAGAGGACCAGAGCGTGTTTGGTGTAGACTTTGGTATCGACCAGAGAACGGAGGGAACATAACTGCTTCCGTAACTGTGGCCGCTAAAGTGAAGGTGTGTTGAGAAGATGAAAAAAAAAAGAAAAAAAAGAAAAAGATACTTCTATGACGTTACCTTTGAAACCGGGCGGATTATCGAAGAACAAAAAGAATAAAATATATTCGTGGCACGGTCATAATAAAATATTTTCAGACCAGCTAAAAAGCACAAAATGATCCCTGTTCTTTGTTAAAGGCATAATACACTCGAAACACTTTTTTTTAATATTGAAAAATTCCTCATTTAATATCAAACTGCTGTCAGAACGGCGAACACGTTCAATTCTTTTCGTGAGATATTGGATCTGCAATGATTGTATTCTTAGAAATTTAAGTTCTTCTGCCCTGCAGAATAGATATTTAATTTGGAAACATTGATTGTCTCCATTTTTCGCGAAACATGCGAATATCCAAATATACAATATCACACGAATTTTATATTTCACGCAGTTTTCTAGTGAACTTACGAAAACCTGTTGAACTTCAAATATCGTAACAGAGCACCCAGAGTACAAGATAGCCAAGAAACAAAAAAAAAAAAAAAGAAAATCAAGAGAGGCTAGAAAAAAATGACTTCCACGAAATTAAAGTACTCTAGCACGTATACGTAGAAGTTGACTCGTTGCCACGCATAATATCTTTCCTTTTCTCTTGGTACCACCTCGAACAAGCTTTTACCCTTCCCCATCCACGTCGTGGATAAATTAGAGTATACATTTGACTTGCTCGTTACTCGTAATACACCCGGCCTTCCCTCGTCGACGATTGAAATAGAATTCGTAGAAAGCATGGACGTGGCAGGCGTTAACCTAACGATTATCCCGATCGTTTCAATAGGTGATCAGAGAAAATTGGAACTTGAAGTACAGTGCCTGCTTTGTGATTTGCCCGTTGCCGAAAGAATCGCCTACGTCCGACAGAGTGCCGGAAACAGTGAGCGTCGTGGCCCGGCTGAAAGCGTCGCCGACGAATCGTATCCTCGTGCAGAATCGGCCCGAGACCAGGAAGAAGGACAAGGAACTGTTGGCCGTTTGCGTGAAACCCCTGCATTACGATTACAACAGAGTAAGTTCCACTCTGTTTGGTGAAGTAGAAATATTTGCGAGTTACTGTGACACGAACGTATTTGACAGTATTACGGATAATAGTTAAAATATCTATGCTTGATACTTAAAATGTAGGTCTATTTTACATGTGTAATTATTATAATAATTATATTATAGTGTAATATATTGTATAATGTATATGATATATTGTTATATATATAATAATTACTATAACAATTATATTATAGTATATATATATATATATATTATATAATATATATAATATATAGTTCTATTATATATATAATAATTATTATAGCAATTATATTAATATTGTATGATATTGTAATATATATTATAATATTAATAATTAATATTATAATATATATTATTACAATAATTATGTTAATATCATTATTATAGTATATATTATATAATATATAATATATATGATATATAGTTCTATTATATATAATAATTATAGTATATAATAATTATATTAATATTGTATAATATTGTAATATATGTTATAATATTAATAATTAATATTATAATATATATTATTATTATAATTATATTAATATTGTATAATATTATAATATATATTATAATATTAATAATTAATATTATAATAATTGTATTAATATAATTATTATAGTATATATATTATATAATATAATATATATGATATATAGTTCTATTATATATATAATAATTATATTATATATAATAATTTCCATTTAGTTTATTGTAGATGTGACTATTAAAATTTTACGAGGACAACACAACACGACTCGCTGAACATTTTAAAAATGTAGGATTTTTATTAGGATCTGTCTGTTGCTTGAAGAAAGTGAATGTAACATAAAGACTTGATGAAATGCAGAATTGTTAAAAGTAGCAAACTATTGAATTTAACGGTTCTCAGAATTTTCTACTAGAACTCAGAAGTTGCTAACGATTGCTAAATTATTTAGACTGTCGAATATTGGATGCTTTGGAATTCATATTTTTTAGTCATTGGAGCTGAATTTTTTAAAAATATAGAATTCTTTGTTGGTTTGTCTATTCCTTAATATATGAGCTTGATGAGGCTAATAGTATTGTTAGAAATGCTAAATTATTGAACTTGAAAGTTCTCAGAATTTTCTACCACTAACTTATGTTAGTGAAGTTGCAAACAGAATGAACAATTAAAATGACATTTTAAAAATATAGGATTTCTTTATTGACCTATCTGTTGCTTGATGAAAGTAAATTACCAAATTACTAAATTTAGAAGTTCTCAGGATTTCACAGATTAGAACTCAGTGAAGTTGCAGAATGAACTATTCGAACTGAAATTTGAGTATTGAAAGATTTTAGAATCAGAGCTCCAAGAAAGAATGTTCATGATAATAAGAACTAGACAAGATTCGGAATTCGAGGTAGAAGCACTGAAATTACTGAATAAACTTGCATTTAGTCGCAAGTATCGAATTTGAACTGAAAAGTTCTGGGACTTTTAAAACCTTCTCCTCAGTCACTTGAATTGGACTCACTTCAAAACACAGGTTTCTTCACGAGACCTTCATTCGTTGCTCCAAACAAGTTTATACAAAGACCTGACAGGACGTAGAATTTTTACAATTACCAAATCACCGAACTCACGGCCAGACTACTCACCAAACTAATTGAACTATCTGAACATTCGGATTCTAGATGTTGCAGCTAATAGAGTTTATCGAGCTACACAGGCTGCTTGGCGCTAGCCACGTAACTCTATACAACGACACGGTTGGCACAGAGGCCGGATGCGCTCTCAAGTACTACGAAGCTAAAGGCCTCGTGACCGTGTTACCTTGGCATCATTTAGACATGATCTCGCAACGAGAGATTCGCACGGAGGGATTATTCGCCGCTCTGAACGATTGCCTTTATCGATCTATGTACAAATACGAATACGTGGCGTTGGTGGACCTCGACGAGTTTATTATACCGAGGCACAACGACACGATCATTGATCTCATCAGGTGAGGAGAGCTTCGAGACTATCACATCTACCAGATGACGTACAACAAATAATTTTATTAATTTACGAAATAGTTACGAACTTCGTTACGTTCCTCTTAATAATCATCATCAAAGTTTGCTGATGTAAGAGCAAGATCGAAATGTAATGTAAGAAATTTGAGAATCGTAGCAAGAGTCTGCAAGTTAAATGCAATCAACGAGAAATCTAAGGGGAATCTATTTAATCGTAAAAGAAGAGACGACTATGTGTAAAATTTTGTTCTCACTTTCGCATGAAGATCGTCCCTAGTTACAGTGGAATTTAATATCAATTAAACTTTATCGTGGCGAAACAAAAGAGCGGAATATCAATAACCTGTATTCCCCAAATATATACGAAATGTATAGATAAAAATAAAAGTCCTGTGTTTCCAGGTGGATGAGCAGTCGTATAAATACGAAATCCACCGGAGCGTATTCCTTTCAGAACGCGTTCTTCTATCTGCAATGGGCGGACGATCCTTTCGTGGTGACCAGCCGGACGCCGATAGAGGCTGGCCTGATCACTCTGAGGAAAACCAGGCGCCGAACGAAACTTCATCCGCACAAGCAGCGCTCGAAATACGTTTGCAAGCCGCAGGACGTTGTCGAGGCTGGCAATCACTTTGTCTGGGAGTTTATCCCGGGACACGGGACGCTGAACGTTCCATCGGACGCCGCGATTCTCCACCACTATCGGGTCTGCGAGTTCGGCGGCGACGATTGTATAAAGACGCAGTCGGTGGTGGACAGAACGGCCTACAAATACAAGGAGAGGCTAGCGGTGAACGTTGGCAGAGCCTGGACAGACCTAAGCGCCGATTGTTCGTTGCCGAAGTTGGAGCCGGTGCCGGCGGTGACGCCGCGGATAAAAGCGAGCCCGGTGTTGAAGTCGGTCAGGTAGCGAAAGACCATCGTCGAGACGCTTTGGGATATTGGTAATTTCACTGGTACGCCCAAGGTAGCGAGAACATATTTCTACAACTACGGTGGCCCGTAGTGGCTCTCCCGCCTCCTCTTGCTGTTTTGAACTTCGGAGGAGAAAGGGACACACACACATGACACACGTTTTTTCTACCTTTCGCGGTCCACGCCTAATAGATCTCGTCTACGGGAAACCACGGAGAGAGAAAACGGCGAGCCAAAACGACGAGAAAAGTAAAGTGTGCCCAGCACTGTGCCGAAGGAAGGCGCGAAGACGCTCATTGAAAAAGCTAACGAATAATATTTTTCTACGTGAGAAAGACTCACGATCGGCCGGGGAAGTATGTATGTATGTAACTGTACACAGTAAGCGACGAAACGAACGCTTTCCCGAACGATCCTGTATCTCTTACGCTATGGTGCTTCTTTCACGATTTTATACGGTATTGTATTTATGTACGAGTTTCCTTTTTTCCTTTTTTTTCTCTTTTTTTTCTTTTTTGGTTCGAATCGGAGGGGCCGATTTACGCGAGGTCGAACTATTGTAGCATTAGGAAGAACGTAAGAGGTTCTTATCACGCAGGGCCTACGTTTTCGGTCTACATTGTCGGCTATAATGTAAGATAAATCTGATATTACATTGTTGTCTCGTTGATCTCGTTTTTCCTTTACGACACCTATAAATCCGCACAACGTAATAAAGAAAAACGTACGCATATCCATAGGATCAATACCTTAGTCGTAGTTTATTGTATGTATAATATGTATCTAGGACATCTAGTATTTAATCTGATAGCGAACGCGTAGCGATGCGAAAGATGTTTTTAAAATGCCGATTTACACGTAGCCGATTTATATATTCGATCGGTTATATTTGCAAGATTTATTTACGAGGAACTGGTTTCTTGTTCAGAGGAAGAATTCGTTTGTCTTTTTTTTCTTCTTTTTTTTTTTTTTTTTTTTTTTTTTTTTTTTTTTTTTTTATCAGGGATTGACATTAGTTGCCTTTAACAATTGTATTCGTTGTTTCGCGAATATATATATATATATTTTTTTATTAAACCCCTAAAGGCGATCTCGGAGCTGTTATACAATAGCAGCTACGTTTCAAGAGGAACATGATTGTTAATCGTGCTCGGAATGCCAACAAATGAGAGAGCATCACGATATAATATCAGCTAGATAGGAACTACAGATTCGAGCGTTATGACAATGAACATTGCAAACTGTTTCTATTTCTTTTATAATGTCACATTTTTTACGCGCACATACATTTATGTATATATGTGTATACACTGAGGTGTACGTGCATTTACGTACACGCAGCATGTAGGATAGGTGAAATACGTACATGTGATCGGTGCTAAGCCACAGTCAACATGCCGTTTGGTCGTGTTGAAGAAGTTAATAAATATTATACGACGACAATATGTATTTTGATTCCCTTGAAAATATATTTCGTAAATATAAGTCTGGAATACATGTACAATTATACGAATAATTGAATTTCATATTATTTAACACACGTATGCTGTATATATATATACATAATATCTTAAGTATTTTTTACCACCGTCTAAATTATTCGATCACGAAGACTAACGATACATTACTTTTTATTAATACGTCTATTTACAGTTTATTGTAAAGATATGCGTACAGAGATCGATAATTACATGGACGGTATATTTTGAAATTTTTGTAATTGTTTTTTTGTAATGGTTAAAAATCCTCATCCGAATGATCTAGCTTACTAACGGCTCGTTTCTCTTGCCCAACCTTCAAATCAAAATTCCTGATCTCTGGCCCTCCCACAGAGTCTAGAATATCGTCGTCGTCGTCGTCGTCTAGATCACCATCGATCAACAAGTCACTGTCACTATCTAGCGAACCGCCACTGTCGTTTGATTCTTGAATAGTCCCTCTCTGACGTCCAGACATGCTTCCGTAAATACGACGCTGTGATATTTGCATTCTCGATGATCGGCCAGCTGTTATATTTAGAAAATACGTTTACAAGGTAGCTTTAACAGTTATTATACTAACTTTGTTAAGATAACTACATATTATAACAAGTTTTTTAAAAATACTGAAAACAAAAAAAAAAATGATGTACTATGTTTTTACCTGATTTCAACCGACTGCTTGGTGTTGCCTTCTCGGTATTTTGTTTTTCTATATTATTAGCAAGAGGAGGTGGAGGTTCTTGAAGATTGGTAGGTAATATAGAATCATTTCCTTCCATCATGCTCTCAAAGTTAGCATCCTCAGCCCTCATCTTCTCTAACTGTTTTCGCGTTGCTTCTTGCCTATTTTGAGTTGGAAAACATTATGTTGTGCTCTTTGCAGAGTGAATTTATAATTCATAATTTATATAAATGTACCGTCTTTCAAATCTCTCTTGTTCCGCTTTAGCTGCATCTTCATACAGATGTTCAAGATACGCAAGGTAACGAAACTTTTGAATATAATCGTCGTACAAAGCTCGTAGTTCAACTTCAAGTTTCTCAAATTCCTCCATGAAAGCTGGACGCACTTTTTTTAATGTTTGTAATCTTTTCTGGTTTCTGTCGAGTTCGGCGCGTCGTCTTTCGATTCTCGTATCTAAACTTTGCTCCGTGTCCTTAAATCAGAGAAATTGCAGTCGAATATTCAGAGATTAGAGAAATTAGAAATGTATTTTTAAAGTACCAAAACGAGGAGACAATACCTTTACACTCTCAATTTGTTTCTTGGTATCTTCAATTTCTTTACGTACATTTTCAATAACATCTTTCAGGGCAGCCTCGATTTCTGTCGTGTCAAATTGTCTAGCAACTTTTGAGTTACGAATCTCTCTGAGATCAACTTCTCGCCCGAGCAAGTCAAAAAGTGATGCACCAGTAACAGTCAATTGGCTGGCTAGTTGTCTCGTTGATTTCAGTTCGTTTATTTTATTGGAAATGTCGAAGCTAACTGTATTGAAACTGTCATCGGACATTATATTGTTATTATTACTATTATTCTGTGCATCGTACAGTAGTGTAGCTACTTTTAGCAATTCTTTCACAGCGTAGCCATCAGCTTGGTATAACTTTTTTGTATTTAATTTGACATTTGTTTTCAAAGCCTATATTCGTAATTATTTAACAATATTAAATTTAGTAATGTGAATTAATTCACTTGTTCATATATTATAAAATTCAACAATGAGATTTTACAAATTTACAAATTCATTTTTGTGGAATATAGAAATTAATTAATTAAAAATTACGAACTGTTGTATCAGATTTATTACCATAAATTCAGCAACTGCGCGTATTAATGAAATACGCTCTTCTTCGGTACTGTGTTCGCTAGGTATATCCGCATCTGGATCAAATCTTTTGACCAGCCAAACAAGAATTTCGGCAACCAGTGGAAAATTCGGTAGTCGAAAATTTCCAACAGAAATTAGCCTCGGATAACCAAGGACCCGCATTACTTCCGTGAAATCTATCAAAAGATTCAATGCAATTATCATAAAAGTATACACTATATCGTAACAATATTCATTGTAAAAAAGATTGTTTAAATACTTCTTAAGTCACGGAACGACATTTTCCTTTTAAAAACAGAGTTTAAGTGAATCGCAACACTTTTTTTCAACTTTCCACGCTATGTTTTGATTTTCAGTCAGAACGTTGTCAAGGAAACATTAACTCAGATAAAGGTATTACGTTTCCCTCTAAAAGGCGATTTTTCGAAAATTCTTCGGTTCTCAGATTTTTCTCTATTTTTGTTGCAACTATAGTTGCGCATCAAATTAAAAAAATTTATTTACAATTAATTATATAACTAATTTAATTTATTAATTAATTAATTGGTAATGAATTACAGTATGTATTCAATATTTATCCTAGAATAACAATTGTTAATTAATCGAATTACCTTTTTTTAAATATAAATTTTAAAAAGTTAAGAATCAGTAAAAATCGCTTGAAATCCATTACTAACATACTTCATACCATACTTTATTTATTCAAAACTATATTGATTTATATACAACATATAAGATTAAAGGTCTACAACAGGAGGTATCCTAGATTGTTTGATCTCAGAACGTTTTCGTTTTTCAAAAAGTCTTTCTCTTGCTGCTCTAAGGTGTTGTTTCCTTTTCATTTCTAGAGTTTCAGGAGGTATCTTTGACGGTGGTTTGGCTGCTTCCCATATTATTTTTCTTAACTTTTCAAGAGCGTCAGCTAAATTTAAATGTTGTGATCTTGTCAACTCTGACTTGATTATTAGATGACCTTCTTTTGATAATTTATTTTTATGCTGTAATAATATTATTATAAATTTTCCGATACAAAATTGTATATATATGATTTGTTTGCATTTGTTAAAGATCACAAACCTGTTCTAACAATTTATTTCTAACATCCTCTGCTAGCCATTTAGCACTTTCTATGTGTAATCTTACATCTACTTTGCTATTTGTACGATTTACGTGTTGTCCTCCAGCACCACTGCTACGGCTATATGTGATTTCAAGTTCTTTAATTGGTATGTAACCATTAAATTTAGCATTTGGATCTTCAGGAATCTAAAAATGTTACATAATATAAAAATTCTCTCTCATTAATTCTTTTATATTTTACAGCATATGAAATGAATGAGATAAAAGTAGTAATCAGCCAAAGCTATTTGTAATTATAACAGTTATAACTGTGCTGTAAAAATAAAAATAGAAATACTGTATGAAATGAAACGTAACATAAAAAATAATTAATTCCAATGTAATAAATTATAATAAACTTACAAACGTTGGCGTGTAAAGTTTTATATTGCTCGTAGGGTATAGTTTGTCAAGAGAAAAAGCACTTTTATAAGCGAGAGCTCTCCCAAGAACACAAAACTGATTATGCGTTATATCCGTTGCGAAAATTCGGATCCATTGTCTGCTGGCAATATTCATTTTGTCTTTCTTCTAAATTTTCAAGTCATATCATAACCTATACGTCGGTAATAACAAATGTATCACGTGAACGTAGCGCTACGAGTTCGAGAATCGATTCTCGCAAAAATTCCTTGCAAGATCTCGATATTTCGAATTCAATATCGAATTTGTACGTTCAGTGAAATCTCGGAAGACGCGAGTGACTTGTGCTTGTGTTTTAACGGAAATTTAGTGCGATTTATTGCAAAAAGTGTATAAATAATGATTAATAAGCTTCCATGGACCGAAGTGATTAAATAGGAGACAAGATACTTCAAGTAAGCAAATGATTTTTATCAAATTATTTAATTGAAATAACAGTACGTGTGATATTTTCAATTTCTTGAGACTTTTTTATAATTGAGACCAATTAATTTTGATTCAATTCTTTATATTATGTTTTATATGTTCTTATATTAATACGATTATATTTTAAATATAATGTAATGCAATAATATTGAATGTTATACTTAAAATTTATTACACATGAGTTTTCGTATACGAAAGCATATATCATTAAAACGAATACAACGATGTATCATTAACAATTTATAGTTGTATTCGTTTAATATAGTTTCATGAAATTGAAAACTTACAATTAGAGTGTCTTTACCGATTTAGTGTCATTCCCAACTTTACCGATTCAGTTCAAATCATCCGACCCTTTATCATTTCCGTGTCACACCCTACTATATCGATTTAGGCAGTTTTGCATCGCAGCGCTACTAGGAGGAATTAATAGGAATTAAAATCAGAAAGTATGAATAATATTATTACATCTACGCTGAAAATTATTTGCTGAACGCGAACGTTTTTTTATTCGCATATAACTTAATTTTTGATTATAACATAATTATTTCCTACACGAATTAGCATTACATGTCACAGACTTACAAATTAGCATTTAGTATGTATATGGTCGATAGAATTATGAGTTAAAAACTAACAGTGCAAATGGTAGCAGGCTGTAAAATAACAAAAATCGGTTGAAGAAAAAGAATTGTTCGGATAAGCTAACGTAGTTAAAACGATAAATCGATATATTATCCAAATAATTATTATTCAAGTATTTTATTCGAACAACGCCCACGTCTGTTCCAAACTAACTACCGATGAACCAATTAATAGATTAAAAAACGAACAAATCGAATGGCCAGTATTTTCAACGATAGAACGAATAGGGTTAAAATTACTTGTCGTTGACTATACAAACTATTGGCGTAATCGTTGGTTTTGCAATCGTTCGGAGGATTGCAGAAACGCATTCTGGTAAAGACGGTAATAACTGACAAGCGATCTGCCGCAAGGACGCCGAACTTCTTAACTCGGCTGTACGGTTTTCCCGGCTAAATACTGTGACAAGGCCGCTGCTTTACAGTACCACGGGTTATTGTACTGGTGAAAATCTATCAATTACAAAAATCAGTCGTAAAGTCGACTGGACGCGCGCCATTTTTGAACTAGGTGCACTCTAATCGTGTAATTACTGTACGAAGTATAGTTTCGATATCTCGTTTCGTCAGGCGCGCGTGATTCTGATATATCGAATTTTGAATTTTAATATTACTGTTTATGAGCAGGTCGTGGATGTCTATGAAAATTATTAAAAGAGAGAGGGCATAAATAAAATATTCCATTGATGCATTAATATTGATGTTAATCTTTCTATCGATGTATAAAAATTGTTCATAGATATTCGGATTGCGGATTTTTACGTATTTGTTGGAGATTTCGGGCATATTATGCATGAACATAAAATAGACAAAATTTATAATATCGTATATTTAATAATATTACATATTTTGAAAGTAATATTATAAATATATAAACTAGACAAAATATATATATATATATATATATATATATATATATATATATATATATTATAAATAATTTTATATATTTATATTAAATTATATATTTAAATTTATATATAAATTATATATAATAAATCATTTATATATTATAAATATATAAACTAGACAAAATACACATATATTATAAATAATTTTATATATTTATATTAAATTATTTATTTAAATTTATATATAAATTATATATTATAAATCATTTATATATTATAAATATATAAACTAGACAAAATACATATATATTATAAATTATATATTATAAATTATTTTATATATTTATATTAAATTATTTATTTAAATTTATATATTAATTATATATTATAAATCATTTATATATTATACATATATAAACTAGACAAAATACATATATAGTATAAATTATTTTATATATTTATATTAAATTATTTATTTAAATTTATATATAAATTGTATATTATAAATATATAAACTAGACAAAATACATAATAATAATATAATATAATAAATGGAGCACATAAAGATATAAATTTTTAGAAATATCCACAATTTGGTAATTTATCGAAATATAGGGATCAATGATAAATTAATTACTGCAGACAACAGTAAATTAATTACTACAGCTTTCACCACTATAAATTTAAATCATTTGTTAAAAATCAACGAGTACATATTCATATTTATTATTTAAGCGTTCAGCTTGTTTGTATTAGCATCGAATTAATATTAATTATTAAGATGAACAGTTTTAGTCTTTCCATTATTAATTAAGAACAACAGTTTCTCTAATACGATAAGTTTTAAATACTCGAAGAAAACTGGCATTTATTTTTCCGACAGAAATCATGTAACTGTACAACTCAACAGCACTTTCAAATCTAGTATCAGATAACGCTACCAGTCGCCCATCGCACTAACTTCCTTCCTCAATAACGTTTCAACTTTCGGAGTGATCGCTTCATATATCTAACTTACTCACCTTTAGAATCGCGAGCCAATTCGTAGGAACAGTCGTAGAACGTAGAAAAATTGCCTCGGTAGTTTGTTGGTGATTCAACCGAATCAAACACTTGAAACGGTGCATGATGAAAGTGACTCGTGACTATGAGTCGACGCTGCTGATAGCATTGACACAAAATTGCAATTATCGTAACGTTACACGGATTTTCACGTATCGATGATTCGGCATAAGTATCGTTATTCGATTACGTGCGTCTACGTGTTATTAGATGATACGCCTGTTTGAGAAGCTTTGATTAATTTATATTAAAAGTGTTCGAATTTGGCTAAAGTTTAAAAGCGAACAACGAGCACTTGCTGTCTTTTGCCGAAATTAATAAAAATGCAATCTCCGATCTGTAAGAAATTAAGTTGCACACGCAGACTGCAGGATTATTTGCTAGATCGTTCGATTTCATCTTGCGTTTCATGCACATCGTTAAAATTAGTGAAATATGAAGTCTTTAATTAATTAAGTTACGTAGACTGTAGACTATTAGATTATTGAAAATTTAGAAATCGATTTCATCCTGTATTTTATATTCACTGGCAGTTAATTTGAAAAGGAGATAATTTAAAAAGATCCGAACGATACAAGTCCGGAGTTAATATACGAAGTCTTTTTATTCAAGAATTTAGAACATTCCCCTCGACGTGAGTCAAAAAATCCAAGAATCTAAAGACCCTGCCCAAGTGAAATTTCATAATAATCTCCGCGAGCAATTTACCAGCGATCACAAAGTTCAATTACATAAAGATCAATGTGAGATTCTTTTGACAATACGACAACACACAGTGATAATTAATCCACAGAAAAGTCAAAACGAGTGCAGTTCGACTGCTCTGTAATTTTTTAATCAAAGTGCGTCTTGCCGCAAAGGCACGCAAACATCTGGATACTTTCGATACGTGTTTACATTTTTCCGATCTGTCGTCGTTTGGCCTAACAACGAACAAACGGCGAAGGAGTTGGCGAAGAGAAGGATGGAAAAAAAAATGGGAAAGAAGGATTGCACAATTTGGCGCGTGATCGCAGCCTGGTGGAACGCGCGTACATGCGCACGAACACGCGGTTTGCCTCGGTTTGTTCGCGTGTTCGGTTGGATTCTACTAAGGCGACTGTGTAATCCACGATACGCTTGCCGAGTAAAATAAATTCTCGCGGCACGCGAACCTAAGTGGCTTACCTAAGCCGCGTTCGCGGGGGGTTGGATGCGTTTCGGGGATGATCGTTGGAGATTTCGTGGAAAGTTTCACAATCATTCTATTATTATTTGCTCCTCCTCTCTTTTTTAAATCCTTGCCCCGTCTTCTCATAGTAGTTGCGCAAGCAGCGATTATTAAGGTTGAAATTGGCAATAGTTATGCTCTTTTAGTTATTACGCAAGCTACAGCCGAGTTCGATGCATTTTAATAATCATCGTTTCATGGAAAATTTTTTAAATATTTCAATTAATAATATTTTACTTAATTAATTGTAAATATTTAATTTTTTAGATATTTTAATTAATAATATTTTAAGTAATTAATTGTAAATATTTAATTTTTTAAATATTTTAATTAATTAATTGTAAATATTCTGCTTTTCTAAATATTCTTATTATAACTGATATGCTATAATATATATACTATAGTATATAGTATACTATACTATACTATATAATATATATACTATACTATGCTATATAATATATATAATATAGTATATAGTATACTATATTATGCTATATAATATAAATACTATAGTATATAGTATATTATACTATACTATATAATATATATATTATAGTATATAATATACTATACTATACTATATACTGATAAATATTCTTGTTATAAGAATAACATACTTATTTTAGAGTTTTTTCATTTCTCTTTTTTAATCATTGAATACTGTAGATCGTTCGTGAGATTATTCCCAATTTTCATTCGTCCCTACTTTATTTTTATTTTGTCCCTATATTACTTTCATTTGATCTCAGTATATGTTAATTTTGTTTGGAATCCATTGTCATTAAAACGCAAGAACAATTGAATTTCATCTTCATTCGGTATTTGCAATTAGACTGCGTGATTTTTATGCATTTTTAAATTTCCATAAGCATGATTAATAAAACGAGACCTAAATAGAAAATTCATTCCTTTGTATGTTATTATAATTATTATGCTTCTTTGAATATTTTATATATTTTAGTATATTACGTGCACTGTACACAATAAA